TCTCCCACCATCCACTCTCACAAACTCGTCAGGTAAGTTATTCATTGTTTTCTTCTGACCCTTCCCTAAAATTACTATACCTTGTGAGTGTTAAATTTGTCAAGGCGTCTTTCCTCATTTTGTCTCCCAGGAATTCCAAATGTCTTTTTCTAAATCTAAACAACAGTGTATGTTTCATTCCCATTTTCCTTAAAACGTCCTTGATCCTCCAATGTTTTATCTATCCTATTCTCAGCATCCTTCTGTAGGACCATATTTTAGTTGCATCAAACTTCCTTTTTTATTCGTGAAAAAATTGCCCAGCATTCATAGGACGAAAAAGTCGTGAGAAAGCATAAAACATCTCATATACAAGGATGATCGTAAGTGTTTTGCCAAAAACGAAATGAGTTAGAAAATTTGTGACACTTTTAGAAGAACGATTAAAATCAACAACGAAGACAGAAGAATGGAATTTGATATTAAGAAATGTGCAATGTCGACAGTGAACAAGGACGCTCAGCAAAAGAATAGACGACACTTTACAACAAAGAAATAATTACAGAAATGCCCGGACAGTTTCCATTAAAAATTAAAAAGAATTGAATTCGGAAACCTGGGTCAAGAAACAAAAATAACTGATAATGATTCTTAAGGATCTGCACAAGAGATAATTCCAGTGTGTTAAAACAAACAGAATAAAACTATTCATCATTAAGGTTTGTGTCTATTCTGTAATCAACGAACTTGAAACAAAAAAGGCAACTACCAGCAACAGAAAAGCAATGGCATAAAGACAAATGGTTTGATAGATAAAACATTCAAACACTAATTGTCGAGTGCATGAAAATAAAGATGGCAGTCAATACAAATGCAAATTCAAAACATTAACTCAGTAATGGTGCAAGACTAGACATAATTGAATAGGTAGGTGATCCACTGAAAAATCTGAAAGTTACTACATATTGACCATACAAACAAATTGTATATGTACAGACCAGAAGAAAATCAAATCGCTTTTAAATGTATCATCTAATCAAGTTCAAAACTAGATAGGGTAGTCGTAAATAAGAAGAAAATGTAAGAAATAATAGAAATCTTTGTCCCGAAAGATTACAGAAAATCTAAAAGAAAATGATAAGTTTTTTCTGTAAGTTTAAGGTCTGAAACATGTTAGTAACAGTCATGTCGATCGAGTCAAGACCATCCCTCAAATAGAACAGCAAAAACAGCTCAAATACTAAGGCGAGTGCCATAGTATTGAAGAGATTTGTTGTCACTTAATCTCCAGTGAAATTACTATTTAGAACTGCTGCGAACAGTCTATGAGAATAAAACTTGAAGAGGTAAACATACTCTGGGATTTTTAGTTTGAGAAAACGGGATTTGGTTACTGTAAACAAGATGAAGAATTTCTACCAGATCTTGGAAGTGATTCTATCCATTACTGAATACTGAAGAGAATGCTACAGAAAATTGCGATCTCTTTATCTCCGACAAGTGCTAACAGATAAGCCACTTGAAAGAAAAAAAAATGAGATAATTTCGAAAACTCAAGTTAGAAACTGTCCTTGAAAACAAAAATAAAATTCTTCCCAGCTTTTGATTCAAACAAATCCCTCTGTGGAGAAGTAAACAGACAGATAGGGCAGAGCACAAAACGGAAATTCGGTCGAAGATGAATGCGACAAGGCAGTAAAAGCTGAGTAGCTGCGAAGAGATGAAAGAAAGAAATTCATATTTTTAGATAAATCCAAAAGATATAGACTATAATATATATATATATATATATATATATATATATATATATATATATATATATATATATATATGTAATTAGCACAATCTCCCAAACACCTGAATAAATTATTATTTTATTCTGTAACAATGGGCTCTGACATTCTATAACGTTCATCAATTTTTCAATACTTGATTTTATTAAAATTCATTGAAATTTAAAATTATGTAAAATGTAACATATATATTAATTTTTAAATGAATACAAGGTCATAAATTAGAAAATGGTTAACAATATAACAGATAGTATAATTTTATTTGTTAATATTGAGTCTTTGAAATATTATAATCATTATCATATTTCAGCTGTTGAGTTTATTAATACTTTTATGCTTTTCATAGCATACAGAGGTTTTTATTGCTTCACAGAGATGCTTTTTACTCATTGCTTTCCATTTTCATATACATCTAAAGAGACAAGTGGTCATTTCACTAATTTTAGTAATTATGAAATCATTTTTAGTAAGTTGGGCAACAGTCATTTAGCTTAAATCTTATTGCTTGTATATTGTACCATTCAAATATCATACTATCGAAGAACTTACAATAATTCTTTTTTTTTTTAATCATTTCACTCGAAGCAAGGCGGGGATGCCATTAGTATGCAGAGGCTTACAGGATATGAAATTGAGAGAAAAGAGTGACCATATGGAGGGTCGAGGAAAGGATAAAAGATGAACGGGATTCAAAAAGATAGAAAATAGCAATTGACATTGCATTTAAATTTTTGAAGATTGTAGTTATCAAGGAGGCAAATAAATGAAAGGGAGTTCCACAGGCGGGAAGTGTGAGAAAAGAAACTGAGTAGAAGTGGCGGTTGCATTTAGCTATTTCAACAGTAAGAGCCATCATCAACTTTGATGGACTTATAATTTATTTATTGCCGACATGTTATCAAAAACATAATCTCAATTCCCCTCGTCATGTTGGTTAATTGTTTGTATGTAGGACGAAATCTCTATCCCATCTGTCAGGTTTGTTCCATGTGGCTCGTTATTCAGTACTAAACATTACAGGGGAGGAATCAGTTTTCTTGTATTTATTGACCCAACTTACACATTTCTTTCTGAGTTAAAGATCAAATGCCGGTTAAATATGGATCAGAATCCGACGGGATGTTGAGATAAAGAACAAATAGGAAACGTTTATCAATCTAATATGTTTTACTTTCATCAGAATTGAGAGAGAAAAAAAAGATAGAATTTTGGTATTTTCAATGTTGTTTGGCTTGATTCTACCGGCTTTCGCATCGTAGAATTTTTATATATTTCTTTTTAGAGTATTTACTTCAAGGTGGTAGTTTGGTTGCTTTCAAGTCTTTAGCCAATCTTCTTAATATTTTTCAGCCTTTTCCTTTGTTTATATTCATAACGAACTTTTTTTAAAAATAATTTCTTGTTGGTCAATGCACTTATCTTGATTATCATTGTTTTAATTTTTCTAAAATCTTTTTGTCATATTCTTAAAGCAACCAGATCTTTTTCGTTTTCTTAACTTACCGATAGTTTCAATTTCTTTTTGAGAAGTCCGTGATCTCTATTCATCTTTTCTCTTACAATTTCTCATCACTTAATATCTTTACTATTTTTGGTTCACTTTGCTGTTCTATTTTCTTACGATCCACTTCAGTTATTATTTATGTGAATTTAACGAAAAACAAATATCAATAAGAAGCGATTGCCTAAATGTAATTACAATACGATGAACATCCGTCAAATTCTGTCTATATTTCTGAGATGAAGTATTGTAACTATTTACACTATTTACATTTTTCGGGCTGTTGTCCTTATTTTTGTTGTCATATTCACGACGTTTCGACCGTTGTACGCTCCGGCTTTCTTCAGATGAGTTGAATTTCGAACCGAACTCTTTATTTCGTCCACCGGGGTGGTCACTTCTAGTCGCCCGTTACTTCAACCAACGCAATTATCAAAGGAAAAAAGGCCCGGTGGATAAAAGCGTTGGTTGAAGTAATCAAGTAGCTTGAACCAAATAATTGTGAGTTCAATACCAGAGGTGAACAAAAACTTGGATAGGGCTTACTAAAAAAGGAAATAACTGAAATTGACCATCAAAAGATCAAAAAAGACATATTTCGTTGTATGTGTCTGATCTTGAGTTATAGGAATTCAATGACCATCAAAAGATCAAATCCCACACTTAAACTTTCCACACATTTATCCACGATTCTTCGATTACATAATTGTTATCATTTTTACATACAATCATAACATAATATATTATTACTAATATATAGAATTAATATCATTTTTGTTTAAATTCATGATATTTTACGACTAGCCAGAGACTGATGGTATGAATTGATATGATAAATAAGAAACTAAAATTAACCAGAAAGAAATACTAATCAAAAATTAACAATGGCTGACAATGTTTTATCTAATGATTTTTTTTCCATAATTTCATTTTATGGCATTTTAATGATAAATATTTCGATTTTGACGCTGTGTGTTTCTAAGTCAACGCCTGTCAGTTTAAAGGTGACTGGTGGATGGAAGTAATGAAAGTCAAATGGGTTTTAAATACTGTAGAATATTGTGTTTTGTCATTTCTTGTGTGAATCGAAAAACATTCGAGATACAATAAATGTCATAAATAATTGAATTCTGGCTCGGATTCTGTCTAAATATATCTGATATTAAAGAGATTTGAATTTAAAAATTAATTGATGTAAAGAGTGAAAATAAAGCATAAAAGGGAGGGAAAGACGAGAAAGAAAAGGGAGAGAGAGAGGAAAAAGATTGATTTTTTAGCGGTATATCCACACATCAATGGGTTTATTTAACATTGCTAGGGAAATGATAAAAAAGTGAATGTGGGATTAATGTAACGGTTGGCACCTTAGAAAAAGAAATGAGTGTACAGAGTACGAATTCCGGATGGGTTCGTTGCGTTCTCTTTTGCACAAACATCTCACCTTCTCCCATTCTTCAGCTATGGGTTAAATAATAGCTCAAACTGTTCTGTATGTAGCCAGTCTAGTATTAAGGATTGGATAAAAACACCCATCCATTCACTCCCCCTGTAGCCTAAGACACCCGTAGAGATGTGTCGATCTGTAAAAAACAAACTGATTGAAATTCTTAAGTCGCCTAGATTTGGGGCTAACTGTTGCACTAATATTCTTATTGGAGATGAGTTTGTCTGGAATAACAGGATTCGTAATCTTGGCTTTTCCCTCGACTTGAATATCAACAACTAACCTCTTGGCAATAGAACACAAGTATGAAGCAGGGTACAAGAAAATATTATGCAAAGATAGGAATAAAAACGAAGGAAGGTGCATGATATGAAGGATTTTAGAAATAGACAAAGTGAAAACAAGGAAGGAAGGAAGGAAGGAAGGAAGGAAGGACGCAAAGGAAGGAAGCAAAGGGAGCAAGGAAGGAAGGAAAGGAAGGAAAGTAAGGAAAAGAAGCAAAGGAAGGAAGGAAGGAAGGAAGGACGGTAGAACAGAAAAGAAGATTAAAAAAAGGAAAGAACGAAAGAAAGGAGAAAACAATGAAATTATGAAAGAAGGGGATGTATAGACAGAGATAGAGAGCATGTGTATGTTATCCATATGTTTGTGTGTGCGCTGTGATAGATAGATAGATAGATAGATAGATAGATAGATAGATAGATAGATAGATAGATAGATAAAACCAAACACGAAATGCTGTTTACACATAATTTGAGTAGGTGTTGGTGTAACATTTCTATTGCGAGCAATAGGAAATAAGAAAGAAAGAAAGAAAGAAAGAAAGAAAGAAAGAAAGAAAGAAAAATATGATATAAAAGAAAGAAACATGAGCAGATGACATATGCTTAAATAAGATTGATACTGACATGTGGAAAATAAAAATGGCGTCGTTCCCAACATAAAATGGAAGACAAGAAGAAAAAATAAGATAGAAAAGACGAAAAGATATGAGAAAGTTCAAAGAGTCAGTGTATATGGCAACCTGCCAATCATAGAAACGATGGTTACTTAACACTTCACCTTGAGGCTCGACTTTTAAATATTTAAAATGATGCGCTGAGCGAGAAATAAGCTTTTATAGACGCCTTCGCACTTTGGACGAGGACAAATAGAGGTGACGAAAAAAAAGGAGCCATGATTCAAGTATAGACTTATACATTTACACTAGGCTTAGTGCAGTAATTATGAGTTTGTGTACCAAATATAAACTTAGTAAATAATCTAAAAGTAATTAGGAATTTTAAAATCACCACTTGTAGTCTTTCACAAAAAAATATCCATTCTTGTGTCGGACTTTAGTGATTTTGCACTATGATAATTTTATCATTCTCTGGCTGTGCCTCGCATAGAGTGATCAGGAAAAAATCATGTCAAAAACCCAAATTCACCAGCAAAGTGAGTTCGATCTTTACAGTGAGTCTCAGGACTGTGGCCTTGTTTCAGTTTAGATTCTACTGTGCCAAAAGCTATATAAATGAAGAGTGAGATCGATAGTAATTAACTTAGTGTAAGGGGAAAATAGTAAATTTAGAAAATGGAAGCAAGTCCAGTGTTACCCCATGAACAACTCATATTAGTATCAAATATGTAACTATCCCACCAACAAGCACAGAATTTATGAAAGGAGTAAAAAAAAAAACACTTTAAAGAAAAAAATTCAGAAAAAAAGAAAATAATACCATTTTTTTTTTTTAATCGGTATCATCCCAGTCATGCAACTACCCCCCACCTCATGCAAGGCGGTAAAACCAATAAGGCACAAGGGATTACAGAGCGTGAAAAAATTAGGAACAGAAACATTAATAATGAGCGGGAAGAGGAAAGAGTAATCAGGCGGACAGTAGTGACATTGTATTTAAATTTTTGCAGGTTAACTTTGGCTGGAAAGCATGGAGCCGGAAGGGAGTTCCACAAGCGAGAAAAGAAAAAGTAAAGATAGAATTTACGGCTGCATCTAGCCAGCTCAACTGTAAATTGATGAAATTCTCGACATCAGTTGCTTGATTTGATCTTTTGTATGGTATAATGCAATGTGGGTTATTTAAAGTCGAAAATATTTCGGATTGTAGATTGTCACTTACGGTTGTTTCGTGTTTTTCCCCATGTAAGTACTGACTTGCACACGAAACAGCTTAACTACGGTATTTTCAATATGATTTGATTAAGCCTCGCTTCAGAAAAAGTTTTTGTATCAGAATATTGTTTATGTCATTCTTTTAGAGATGGGTTTTATCATTGAAAAAAAGTAGAAAAACACGCATGTTTCAACTTACGTCCTGATAAAGTTGCATTTGCGATGTGTCTTTTATGATTGAAGCCTTACGATGACCTAACAGTCACCAGCAAAGGTATAGGCGAACCGGGTTCGAATTCTATCTGAGATTTATTGCCATTGGCAACGCTATTTAATCCATTTATCTTTCAAGTCTGTTCTATCACTTTATGTCACGTCATTGGCATGTCACAATTGAAGATGAAAATTTGGCGAACGAGCTCTTGGGTCAATCTATCTTTCGAAACTACTCTATCTGCCCATTAGCACCACAAAACTCTTCCTCTAATTGCACACTTTGATCTTTGTTAAGATTAAGATAAATTTTATATATTAGATATGTGTAAATGTTTACGTTATTCTAAACGGTTTTCTTGATTTCTAGTTTTCAAAAAAGCCGGCGTTGCCTGACGATACGATTGCGTCTAGCATGAAACAGACTGTCGCCTCTAAGTGTTGACTACAATGTTCACTTTATATATATATATATATATATATATATATATATATATATATACCGTCGGCATCGTAGTCTCGGAATATCATTGATATTCTATGCTGGAGTCAGTCTATCACGCAGCGTCACATGTGGCTGCAGAGTTCAGTGTGTGAGAGGTTGACACAGGCACAGATGTTGTATATACCGGCCTGTCTCAATGGTTCTGAAGTGGTGGTACTCTCCGACTGTACAACCTGCTTGTTGTTATAGGCTGACTGTCATGAGCCAAGATGGGGTCTCATATGCCAATAGCCACTATTGATTACTGCCATTGAACGCTGGTAAGATATATAGTCTTGATTACAAACGTCCTTAAATCAGTTGATATCCTTCCGCTTGAAAGTTCTGCATAAAGAATGCCCTTCGGAATTCTTCCGTCATCCTACTTCCGGATATAGACCAACCAGCAGAGACGTCGCATACTCAGAAGAGAGTAAATATTGAGAAAATGTGACCTTTCAACTCTCTCTCTCTCGCTCTCAATATCTCTCTCCCTCTCTCCCCCTCTCTCTCTCTCTCTCTCTCTCTCTCTCTCTACATAAAGTGTGTAAAAAGCGTCTGAATGTTCTATATGTCTGAGCTCTTTCGGCTTTTCTATTAGCCGTTATCAAGAATGTTTTCGTTGTTTTTTTTAACCGAATATATAGATTTTTATATACAGTGTATCACAAAAGTGAGTACACCCCTCACACTTCTTCAAATATTTAAGTATATCTCTTCATGGGACAACACTGACAATATGACACTTTGACACAATGAAAAGTAGCCTGTCTGCAGCATATATAACAGAGTTAATTTATTTTTCCCTCAAAATAACTCAAAATATAGCCATTAAAAGCTAAATCCCTGGCGGCAAAAGTGAGTACACCCCTTAGGAAAAGTTGTCAATATTAACATACAACATGTCAACTGTCAATATTTTGTGTGGCCACCATCATTATCCAAAACTGCCTTTACTCTCCTGGGCATCTAGTTTACCAGAGCTTTACAGGTAGTCACTGGAATGCTCTTCCACTCCTCAATGACGACGTCACGGAGCTGGCGGATATTTGAGACTCTGCACACCTCCACCTTCTGCTTGAGGATGGCCCAAAGATGTTCTATTGGGTTCAAGTCTGGAGACATGCTTGGCCAGTCCATCACCTTTACCCCCAGCCTCTTCAGTAAGGCAGTGGTTGTCTTGGATGTGTGTTTGGGGTCATTGTCATGCTGGAACACTGCTCTGCGGCCCAATTTCTGGAGGGAAGGGATCATGCTCTGCTGCAGTATTTCACAGTATATATTGGAGTTCAAGTTTCCCTCAATGAAATATAACTCTCCAATACCTGCAGCACTCATGCAGCCCCAGACCATGACATTCCCACCACCATGCTTGACTGTAGGCATGACACACTTATCTTTGTACTCCTCATCTGGTCGCCGCCATACATGCTTAAGGCCATTAGAAGCAAACAAATTAAATTTCGTCTTATCAGACCATAGGACATGGTTCCAGTAATCTATGGGCTTTGTTGACATGTCTTCAGCAAACTATTTACGGGCTTTCTTGTGTATTGCCTTCAGAAGAGGCTTCCTCCTGGGGTGACAGCCATGCACACCAATTTGATGTAGTGTGCGGCGTATGGTCTGAACACTAACAGGCTGAATCCCAATCTCTTTAATCTCTGCAGCAATGCTAACAGCACTCCTACGCCGATCTTTCAAAGAAAGCATTTGGATGTGACGCTCAGCACGTGCGCTCAGCTTCTTTGGACGACGTACCCGAGGCCTGTTCTGAGTGGACCCTGCTCTTTTAAAATGTTGGATGATCTTAGCCACTGTGCTGCAGCTCAGTTTCAGGGTGTTGGCAATCTTCTTGTAGCCTTGGCCATCTTTATGTAGTGCAACAATACGTTTTTTAACATCCTCAGAGAGTTCTTTGCCATGTGGTGCCATGTTGGAACTTTCAGTGACCGGTAAGAGAGAGTGTTAGAGCTGCACTACAAATTTGAATACACCTGCTCCCCAAGAACACATAGGCATAGTTACACTAATGAGTGACATGACATTTTGAAGGGAAAATGAAAAGCAGTACTCAATTTAGACATTTAGGGGTGTAGTTTCTTAGGGGTGTACTCACTTTTTAGGGGTGTAGTTTCTTAGGGGTGTACTCACTTTTGCTGCCAGGGATTTAGCTTTTAATGGCTATATTTTGAGGGGAAAAGAAATTAACTCTGTTATATATGCTGCAGACAGACTACTTTTCATTGTGTCAAAAGTTAATTTTTTCAGTGTTGTCCCATGAAGAGATATACTTAAATATTTGAAGAAATGTGAGGGGTGTACTCACTTTTGTGATAAACTGTATGTATATGGCGTGATGGAGAAAAGCTACAAAAACCTATCAAACACCATCTGCAAAATACTCGTTGAAAATACAGAGACTCATTCACTGGTCAAAAAGACTAAAAATAATGGAAGCATGAATAATAAAATAAAAATAAAAAAACACTTGCACACACACACACACACATATATATATATATATATATATATATATATATATATATATATATATATATATAGGGTATTTGTATTATTTACATTATTCGGCGCTTTCTGATAATAATTTACCCATTTTTAAGGGTGCTAATTTTCAGTGGTAACAAGGATTAATAATATATTTTGTTTCCTATACTGTATTGCTTGAAATGCATTTCTGTCATAGTAACTTTCTTTTCAGCGGAGTTTTATCTAGTCTCTGAATAAAGTCAGAACATTCTGGTAGCATTCGCACGCGATGCTAAAGAAGTAATGGAATTCTTTTTATTATTTATTAATCAAGAACACATGGCACAGTGGATAAAGGCATTAGTTAGATCCAGTGACAGGACCCAAAGAGTGTGAGTTCAATACCTGGTTAAGAACTTAGAGAGGGGAATTAACAAAAGATAACTGAAAACTGACATCCATTAGACATGGCACGTGGAACTAGAACAGTCTACCCCAACGAGCGAAATAAAGGTTCAGTTCGACATTCCAACCACCTGAAGAAGGCCGGAGCGTACAACGGCTGAA